CTATTCGGGTCCGCCTTTGACAAGATGATATTGGACCATCAGTTGACACCCACTACCACTCCATTGTACGGATTTACCGAAGATAGCATCACTCCGAGGGGAAAGATAACACTGGCAGTGGAGATGGGAGAGTCTCCTCAAACTACGATGAACTTCATGGAATTCCTCGTAGTTGACAGTCGGTCGACTTATCACGGAGTCTTGGGCAGACCGGCCCTAAAGGAATTGGGAGCAGTCACCTCCATCCACCACTTATGCATGAAATTTCCAATAGAAAATGGGGTGGCAACGGTGAGAGGCGACCAGAGAGGCTCGAGAGAGTGCTATCTAAGCTCCATTAAGAAGGTAGAGCCCCGAGACGTCCACGTGATCATGGCTGATGTGGTCATGGCAGATGTCCCAGGTGACGCTCCCACTGACCAGGAAGATGTTGATATGATTGACGCACCGCTTAATCAGGAGGTGCTGATCGTTGATGAGATCGACCCCCACATAATGGAACATGAGCCTCAAGCATCCCTTGTAGAAGAACTTGAGAGCTTCTCAGTCGACCCTCGAGATCCGTCCAAGGTGTTGAAAGTAGGCAGAGGCCTATCCAACATTTTGAGAGAAAAGATTAAGGACTTCCTAGGCAAGAACCTTGATGTCTTTGCTTGAAGGCATGAGGACATGGTGGGCATAGACCCCAAGATCAGCTGCCACCACTTGAAAATTGATCCTAATGTTGCCCCGCATACACAAAAAAGGAGAGCCCTCAATCCTGAGAGGTATGAGGCCCTAAAGGAAGAGGTTCAGAAGCTCATCCAAAATGGCTTCATCAGGGAGGCCACCTATCCGAGGTGGGTCTCCAACCCGGTCTTGGTTAAGAAACACAATGGCAAATGGAGGGTATGCATCAACTTTACCAACCTCAATAGAGCTTGTCCGAAAGACAGCTTCCCGCTTCCAAGGATTGACCAATTGGTGGACTCCACGGCTGGGCACGAGCTGTTGAGCTTCATGGATGCATACTCCGGCTACAACCAAATCCCCATGCACCTGGCCGATGAAGAGCACACCTCTTTCATCACGGACCGAGGCCTCTATTGCTATAGAATGATGCCCTTCGGGTTGAAAAATGCCGGATTTACCTACCAAAGACTCGTGAACAAAATGTTCACCAACCTCATTGGCAAGACAATGGAAGTCTACGTGGATGACATGCTGGTGAAGAGCTTAGAAGCAGAGAACCACATAGCGCACCTCAACAACACCTTCCAAATCCTGAGAAGGTACAAGATGAAGCTCAACCCCTTGAAATGTGCTTTTGGGGTGGCTTCCGGCAAGTTCTTGGGGTACATGGTCAACCAGCGAGGAATTGAAGCAAACCCTGAGAAGATTGAGGCTCTATGCCAGATGAGGTCCCCTCAAAAGCCAAAGGAGGTGCAAAGCTTAACTGGACGAGTGGCAGCACTTAGTCGCTTCGTCTCCAAAGCAACTGACAAGTGCCTCCCATTTTTCAAAGTGCTTAAGGCTGGGAAGAAATTCCAATGGATAGAGGAATGTGAAGAGGCCTTCCAAGGATTGAAAAGGCATTTGGGGCAGGCCCCCCTCCTCTCCAAGCCGAAGCCCGGTGACATCTTACAACTATATCTTGCCGTCTCCAATGACGCCATTAGTTCGGTTCTGATTCGATAAGAAGGGTCCACCCAATTTCCCGTCTACTATACGAGTAAAGCGCTCCTATCGCCGGAGACCCGATACCCCAATATGGAGAAGCTTGCTTTGGCCTTAATCACGGCCTCCAGGAAATTGAGACCTTACTTCCAAGCTCATACCATCCATGTACTTACAAATTTTCCCCTGAGGCAAATTTTCCCCTCGGATAAGTGAATTTGACCTTATGTTCAAAGCTAGAGCAGCCATCAAAGGGCAAGCCTTAGCTGACTTTGTTGCTAAATTCGCCAACCTACCCGAGGTGGATGAAATCATGGAATCCGTCGAACCCCCCACGTGGAGCCTCTTCATCGATGGCTCAGCTGGGGAGGTCGACTCAGGTGCTGGGGTTGTCCTCATCAACCCCAAGGGTCACAAACTCACCTCGACCGTGAGGTTCGGATTCAAAGCCACCAATAATGTTGCAGAGTATGAAGCGCTCCTTGCAGGCCTCAGACTGGCCAAGGAAATGCAAGTAAAGAAGCTACTCGTCAGTAGTGACTCCTAGCTGGTTGTTAGCCAAGTTAATGGTAACTTCTCAGCCAAAGACAAAACAATGGCCTCCTATCTGAAAATGGTGATGAACTTCATCCCATCCTTTGAAAAGTTCGAGTTAACCCAGATTCCCCGCATCGAAAATGCTCATGCGGATGCACTCTCGAAACTGGCTAGTAGTAAAGACTCAGAGCTACTCACTGTAGTGCCTATTGAGCACCTCCTCCTGCCTTCTACCGAGGCCCCTAATGTCATGTGGGTCGGTGGGACTCCCACCTGGATGCAACCAATCATAGCATATCTGAAAGACCAGGTGCTGCCCACCAACAAGAATGAGGCTTATAAGCTGAGAAGAAGGTCAGCCCACTTCCTCTTCATTGATGACATTCTCTACAAGAGAAGCTTCTCCTCTCCACTCTTACGATGCGTCGGAGGAGAAGAGGCTACCTACATACTAAGAGAAGTCCACGAGGGAGTGTACAGCAACCACTCTGGAGGCCTATCTCTAGCGCAAAAAATATTGAGGCAAGGGTACTATTGGCCTACCCTGAAACAGGATGCCCTCGAATTCGTGCGAAAATGTGATAAATGCCAACGATTCTCTCCCGTACAAAGACGACCATCACAGGATTTGACTGCAATCTCCAGTCCCTGGCCTTTCTCAAAGTGGGGTGTGGACCTCATAGGCCCTCTACCTAAGAGTAGAGGAAGTGCAAGTTTTGCAATAGTGGCCATTGATTACTTCACAAAGTGGGTCAAAGCTGAACCACTGGCAAAAATCACAGAAGCAAACACCTCCAAGTTCCTATGGAAGAATATTATTTGCCGGTTTGGAATTCCCTACTCGATCGTCTCAGACAATGGCAGGCAATTCGATAACAAGAAGGTTAGAGAACTGTGTGAAGAGCTAGGCATAAAGAAGCACTTCTCTACACCTCACCACCCACAAGCTAATGGCCAAGTTGAAGCCGTAAACAAGACAATCAAGCACGTCCTGAAAAGGAAGCTTGATGTATCCAAGGGAGCTTGGGTTGACGAGCTGCCCCAAGTACTTTGGGCAATCCGAACCACCACCAGGACCCCAACTGGGGAGACCCCTTTTCTCATGGCATTTGGGACTGAGGCGATGAGCCCCGTGGAGGTCGGACTTCCATCTCCACGACGTCTGCACTTCAGCAAAGTAACCAACGACGAGCTTCGGAGGCTCGACCTTGATTTCATTGAGGAGAGAAGGGATGACTCCCAGCTGAAGCTAGGTACCTATCAAAGAAAGATGACAAGGTACTTCAACTCCAAAGTCAAGAAGAAGTCGTTCCGAATCAACGATCTTGTGCTCAGGAGGGTCTTCCCATCTTCAAAAGAACCTGGTTCCGATTTCCTAGGCCCGAACTGGGAAGGTCCATACAAGATCAGAGAAGAAATCCGACCTGAAACCTACTGGATTGAAGACATGGATGGCAAGGCACAACCCCATCCATGGAACACTGAACACCTCAGAATCTTTTATCAATGAATTGTATCATGCTGGATGACATTCCCCAGCATTTGTAATATTTCTATGGCTCAATAAAATGCATTGATTAAATCAACGTGTCATACTGCACCTCTGGGCCACCTCACATGAACTCCAAGGCGCTAGCACGTGCCTCCCTTTGGCCTTGCTGAACGTCAAGGGGAGAAGCCTCAACATGGCTGCACCATCCACCATGTCTGGGATGCGTCGTCACCTCGGAGGAGAGGCTCGGGACCCACCTCTAGGCCACCTCGCTTGAAATCTGAGGCGCTAGCACATGCCTCCCTTTGGCCTTGCTGGATGCCAAGGGAAGAAGCCTCAACATGGCTGCACCATCCACCATGCCTGGGATGCGTCGTCACCTCGGAGTAGAGGCTCGGGACCCACCTCTAGGCCACCTTGCTTGAACTCCGAGGCGTTAGCACATACCTCCCTTTGGCCTTGCTAAACGCCAAGGGGAGAAGCCTCAACATGGTTGCACCATCCACCATGTCTGGGATGCGTCATCACCTCGGAGGAGAGGCTCAGGACTCACCTCTGGGCCACCTCGCTGGAACTCCGAGGAGCTAGCACATGCCTCCCTTTGGCCTTGTTGAATGCCAAGGGGAGAAACCACAGCCGCTACAATCCGAGGCTCACACAGTTCATCTCCTTAAGTCATGTTAATTTGCTTAAGTTCGAGGTTCGCACAGTTCATCTCCTTAAGTCATGTTAATTTGCTTAAGTCCGAGGTTCGCACAGTTCATCTCCTTAAAGTTATGTTAGTGTGCTTAAGTCCGAGGCTCACACAGTTCATCTCCTTAAGTTATGTTAGTGTGATTAAGTCCGAGGCTCACACAGTTCATCTCCTTAAGTCATGTTAATTTGCTTAAGTCCGAGGTTCGGACAGTTCATCTCCTTAAAGTTATGTTAGTGTGCTTAAGTCCGAAGCTCACACAGTTCAGTCACTCAAGTTATGTTCATTTATTTCAGTCCGAGGCTCACAAAGTTATTTAGTTCATGCTTCTATCAAGTTCCAGTTCATTTATTTAACGAGGTATAAAAACTTGGACAAAAAGCAACAATGAAAGAAGAAAGACATTATATTGATATTTCAAAGAAGGTTACAAAGGAGGGCCTCTGGCTATTACATTCAAATTACTGAAAAGTAAAACCTAGTCTATGCCTGGCTAGATGACGGAGGCGCCTCGGCACTGGGGGCTTCGGCAACTTGGGCATCAGTAGTTGTTTCCTCTGCCTCAGCACTTGGGGCTTCGGCATCAACTTCTCCATCATCCTGGACCTCCTTAGCTGGGGTCTAAGGTACCTCATCCACAAATTCGGACCTAAGTTGAGCCAGGTCCAAATTGGGATACAGCTCCTCTGCCCGCTCCAGCACTTCGGCGTAGGCGAAGTTCCTCCAGTACGAGCTGAAGCTCTTATACTCCTCTGTAGTGTGGAAATTGGTGATGTATTCCTTCACCGCCTCCTCCCTTGCAGTTCGGGCCTCTTCTCGGGCAACCGAGGCGTCGTTCATGTACCACTTCTCCTGGCCTTCGAGAAACTGATAAGCATCCCGAGCACCGGCGAAGGAGGGATTCGCCTTTTCAAGAGCCTTAACAGTCACCTTTTGGTGATCACTGGAGACCTCCACCTTCTTTGTCAAGGAGGCCACCTCGCACAGTGACTCATACACCTCCTTCTTTAAGGCCTCAATTTGGGCCAAAGCAGACTCAAGTTTCACCGCCTCTTCAACTTTCTGGGCCTTGGCTTCTTCGGCCTCGGCCTTAGCAGCTTTCACCTCCTCTGCAAGGGAGGCAGCCTTCCCCTCCGAGGCCTGGGCCCTTGTCTAGAATTCACTCAAGGCCTCCCTGCATTCGAGTGCGAGGCCAAAGGTCCGGGCGCTCTGGCTCACCAGTGCCCTTGTCAAGTCGATGGCATCACAAGACGAGGCATACAGCTGCCACCTCTCTATCCAGAACTTGTAAAAGCTCTCGGTGGCACTTCTGATTTCTTCAGGAGAGCCTCCACCAAAGCTGGGGCCATCTCCTCCTCCCTCCCAGCTAGGAAGTTCGGAGACTTCCCCTTCTCCCGAACCGGCTTTTCCTTCGCTGCCTCCTCCTCGGCAGCTTTTGCAGCTCACCTTGCGACATCCGCTCTAGCCTCTTCAGCCTCTACCTCTCTTACCATCTCCATTTTGATGGCTTTGGAGGCTGCAGCAAGGAGCTTCGGCTCGGCAGTCTGTTCAGCCCTATGGGACACTGAGGTCCCAAACTTTCCAGCTGAGCTGGAGATGTGCACCAGCTTCCTCTTCTTAGTCTCCTCGGGGACTTTCTCCTTGCCCCGAGGCTCCTTCGACTTCTCTGGCCTCTGAGGAGTTGCCTCCTCCAAAGCCCTGGGAGTACAGTCCTTAGATAGGCGCTCAACCCTACCTCGGACTTCCTTTGCCCCCGCTGGACCCAGGCTTCAGGGGCCTCGCCTTCGCAGTAGACGTGGCCTTCAAGATAGAAGCCATGTTTGGAGCTGGGTACTCCTTCTTCTTGAATTTATCTACACAACAGGTCAGATCAGCATCAGTATAAAAACAATGGATAGGAAAAATTTAAGTGTTGGGGCTTCGTACCTCTGGATGCCATCAGTTCGAAGTCCAGAAAGTATCTACTCTTATCGATCAGGTGATCGAAGTGGCGAAGCTTCAGAGGCCTCTTGTAAATGTCCTCTATCACCTCGAATTCCTCCCTGCTGAGCTCGAACGTCGTACTACTATCTGCAAAGGAACCCCCAACAATTAGACGAATTCATATTCTGACCTCAAAAGACAAGCATAGGTCGGGAGACTCACGAGCTTCGAAGTACAAGGTTGGCACTGTGCATGACAGGGCTTTGTCCCCCTCCACTGCCTGCCATTTACCTCTCACCCAGAACCAGGACTCCTTCTACCCCTTGATAGAGGAAGGAAGTCCCACCACAAAAGGGACGTGAGCCCCCCAAGGCGTGAGGTAGTACCACCCCCTTGACTCCTTCCCAATTACTCGGGGCTGGAACAGGGTCATGAACACATGAAGAGGCATGTCCTCTTCAAGTGACACTTCCTTCCACAGGAAGTACGAGCCGACCAGCTGGCTCTACCCATTCGACAGAAACTGGGTCGGCGACAGCATGAATTTCCTAAGCACCGCCCTAAAGAAGGGGTGCAGAGGAAGACGCATACCTGCCTTGAACAGGTATTCACTCACGGCCACGCAGCTGAGCTTCGGATAGCAGGCCCGCTCGTTCGGCTCGGGGACTAACATTTCTATGTAGTGGGGTACACTGTACCTCTCCCTAAGTTCCCCCAACCTCTTCCCCGTCATATTCAAGGGCACTCTAGAAGCCCCCCACTCCTGGATATAATCTACAGGCTCCTCGACCATGGCATACCTATCCACCTCGGACATCCCCCCGTGACCGACCCCATAGTCTAAAGATGCCACTGTAACAAGCTCCCTACCCGAAGTGGACTCCATTTTCTCAGTAAAAAGACAGTAACAAGGGTTTTTATGCAAACAATACCTAGAGAAATTCGACACAAACGGAGACTGGCCGGAATTTAATATCACAGTCAACCTCGACGCCGAAAAATTTGGAGATTTGAGAGAGTTTCAGAGTGCAAAGTGTTCAAAAATCCTGAAAATTGGGATTTTCTCGCCTTTTATAAAGGTCCAAGACGAACCCCAGCCATCAGATCAAATCTCAGTCAATCCGAGCCCTCCATTTCAGATCCAATCCAAGGCGTTGAATTCAAACGGTTTTTAAATCCAATGTTTTAGATTTATGCGTGCCTCCCACGTACCTCTCCACCGCGTCTGCTTCTAGAAGCGCCAGCTGCTCTCATAATTGCATTATTAATTCGACGACAGCAGCGCCTTGGAAGTCGTAACGGTTCAGCCACTTTTTCTCGAAAACAAGCACAAAACATCAAATCATTGGCACAGCAGCCAACGCACAATCATTACCATTGGACCTCGGCATGCCTCGCAGGTTCGGTTCTCCAACCACCTCGGCAAGCCTCGCAGGTTCGGGTCCTCAACAACCTCGGCTTCCTCTTCACCATTCAGCATCAAAGCCTCACAGGTTCGGCTACTCAACCACCTCGGCTTCCTCTTCGCCATTCAGCAATCAGGCCTCGCAGGTTCGGTTCCTCAACCACCTCGGCTTCCTCTTTGCCATTTAGCAATCAAGCCTCGCAGGTTCGGTTCCTCAACCACCTCAGCTTCCTCTTCACCATTCAGCATCAAAGCCTCGCAGGTTCGGCTACTCAACCACCTTGGCTTCCTCTTCGCCATTCAGCAATCAGGCCTCGCAGGTTCAGTTCCTCAACCACCTCAGCTTCCTCTTCACCATTCAGCATCAAAGCCTCGCAGGTTCAGCTACTCAACCACCTCGGCTTATCTTCAGAGTTCAAACACCTCGCCTACTTCATCGCTCACCCACAGCAACACTTCTCAAACTCCAATCATGATATAAATATCTATACTTGGACTTGGGGGACTATTGTTGCATGTTGTCACACCTGTCCTACCCACCTGGGCCAATGGCCCACTCATCCTGATCTATGTGGCATTCCTGCCGAGGTGGCACACATTGTCGAGGTGGGTTATATCCGAAGTGCTTCAAGTTGAGGTCCATCCGTCGAGGCTCCTCGATCCGATGTACACGAGTCTGCCGAAGTCCAACTACCGAGGCCCATGACCCGAAGCATAGAACCTGTTGAATGTAGTTGAGGTCCTCAAGTGGAAGTATTTGTCAAATGGTCAAAGCCCCGAAGCTGATGCACGAGCCTCTTAACCACAAAGAGCTTCCTCTGCAGTCACTTCTCCCAAGAGATCGCCTGCTCAGAGATCTTATTCGAATGACTGATGGAACGTTTGTCACAAGCATAAAGGTCAAGTCTTGTCACTAGTATGAAGGACCTACACAAGCAATAAATGCGCCGCAAGCTAGCAAGTCAAGCCCCATCCCTAAGAAAAGACGTTTGAAATAAAGAGATGAGGCCACGTGCCACTTCATCCAAGGGCTCCCATTTCATATGTATCACTATAAATACTTCCATTGTGTAATGTCAAAGGCTAATGCAAGAATCAATACTAAAGACTACATTTACTCAACTCTCCCTCATTCACTTGCAATACACAAATCGAGTTTATACACTTTTACATATACATTTACGAGCACCGGTTGGTAATTATTGTACAATCGGATTACGAACAACCCGCCGGATTCCGAACGTCACCATCCCACGTCGTTGGGCTATTCCCATGCCCCTTTGAACCGCTCGTTTTAGACTGTCTACGCGTCTTAGCGTGTTGGACATTCGCCCACGCAAACGCGGGTGGGACCGGCATCTGTTGGTGCACTTTTTAGGGTCAACATTGTCAATTTTAGAAACTAATTTTTCATTTGTCTTTCAGAAATGGCAACCGAATCAACTAACATGGATGTGTCAACTAACATGGATGTGTCGCAAACTGTTGCGAATGGAAATTAGTCTGTGGGCTCTACTGTGGCTCAAGTGCCCAACTCTTTTGTGACTCAAACTGTGACTAAATTGTCAAGTCATGCTGTGAATCAATCTGTGGCTCTAACAATTGGCTATATTGTTACTGTTCTGGTTAATCATGGAGAAAAATCAGAGAAATTCAATAGCTTGAATTTCAAGAGGTGGCAGCAGAAAATGTTATTTTATCTCGCTAGATTCTTGACTGAAACTGCTCTAAAACTCAATAAGGGTAAGGGAGATGTTCAAGTGATTAGTGCAGTTGATGCTTGAAAATATTTGAATTTTCTATGCTGAAACTACTTTACGAATAGCTTATCAAACTTTCTATACAATGCGTATAAAGAGCTATGAGAGTTATTGGATAAAAATATAAGACTGAGGATGCTGGGGCCAAAAAATTCATTGTTGGCCGATTCTTGGATTATAAGATGGTGGACTCCAAAACAATAATCAGTCAAGTGCAAGAACTCCAAGTGATTCTTTACGAGATTCATGCCGAATGGATGATTTTGAGTGAAACATTCTAAGTGACTGCAATTATTGAAAAATTGCCCTCATCTCTCTCTCTCTCTCTCTCTCTCTCTCTCTCCCCCCCCCACCTCCCCTACGCGGAAAGATTTCAAGAATTACCTTAAACACAAAAAAAGGAATTGAATGTCAAAGAATTGATTGTTAAATTTCGAATTGAAGAAGACAACAAAACTTAAAAAAAAAAGGGGGTTCAATCCTATTGTGGCTAAAGCCAATGTTGTTGAGCATGGTCAAAGTTCTATGACTTTAAAAACAAGCCTAAGACATCTGATGTCAAAGGTGCTAAGCTGGGACCGAAATGAGACATTTCTAAGAATAAATTACAAGGAAAATGCTTCAATTGTAACAAAGTAGGCCACAAGTTTTCGGAGTGCAAATTGCCAAAGAAGAATAATAAAAAAGAAACAAATGTGGTTGACTACATGACACATGATGTGTCGAAAATGAATCTCGTAGCAGTCATTGCTGAAGTGAACATGGTGGGCTATAATCCAAAAGAGTGGTGGATTGATACCGGTGCTCCATGGCATGTGGGCTCTGATAAAGAGTGGTTTGCTGTGTTTGAAGCAATTAAGAATGGAGAGAAGTTGTTTGTGAAAAATTTAGCAACTTATGAAATCAAGGGCCAAGAAAAGGTGGTTCTAAAGATAATCTTGGGAAAGAAGTTGACTCTTAATAACGTATTGCATGTGCTGGAAATTCATAAGAATCTTGTATCAGGATCGCTTTTAAATAAACATGGTTTTCATATTGTATTTAAGTCAAATAAAGTTATTTTGTTAAAAGGTGGAATGTTTATCGGAATTTGTTATGTTTTCGATAGTATGTTTAAACTGAATGCAATGGTTGTTAAGCCAAAAATGAATAAATTAAACTTTTGTGCTTACTTGCTTGAGTCTTCTAACTTGTGCCATGGTAGACTAGGACATGTTAACTATAATACTTTATGTAGACTAGTTAACTTGAAATGCATACATGTATTCAACATTGATTCCAACCATAAGTGCGAAACTTGTGTTGAGACAAAATTAACAAGTCATCCTTTAAATCAATTGAACGGAATACAGAACTACTTGAAGCTGTGTACATTTTGGGCTACCTCAGAACATGTGGGAGAAAGCTGTGTTATCAGTAAATTGCCTTTTAAATAAGGTGCCCGAAAGAAATTGGAAAAAACCTTTTATGAGTTATGGGAAGGAAGAAAGTTTTCTTATAAATACTTATGGGTATAGGGGCATCTTGCCAAAGTGTTGTCCCAAACCAAAAAAGGTAAAGATATGCCCAAAAACAGTAGATCGCATCTTCATTGGTTATGCACATAATAGTAGTGTTTATCGATTTCTTGTGTATGATTCTAAAATCCCAGACATTCACAAAAATACGATATTGGAATAAAAAAATCTTCATTCTTTGATCATGTATCTTCGTACAAGTCCAAAGAGGAATTAAGCTCCTCTAAACGAACATATGAGACTATGACTGAAAATAGTCATGATCAAGAACTGGAAGAGGAGATTAAGGTTAGTGTAGTAAACAGGAAAGGATAGAAAACTCTTATGGTCCTGATTTTCTGACTAATATACTAGAAAGTAAAGCTCAAAGTTAACAAGGAGCTGTAAATTCTTCAAAAGGACCTCGATAGAAAGATGTCATTTAGAGTAAAATATATTTCATACTGCAAAATCATTCACAGGAGCTAGTAGATCTTCCTCCATGAAGCAAATCACTAGGCTACAAATGAATTTTCAAAAGGAAAATGAAAGCAGATGGAATTATCGAAAAGTGTAAGGCCAAATTAGTAGTAAAAAGTTACAAAACAAAGAGAATGTCTTGATTACTTTGATATGTATTCTCCAGTGACAAGAATAAATTAAAAGGGTGTCTTAATTTATTATAATTGATCGGATCATATAGACGAAGGGAATTATAATTTCATGGTAAACGAACGAGTTTGATTTTATCGTACCACGTGACATTTCCCGTCGCATGTATTGCTCTGACACATTGCTAGATGTCAATTTGGGACGGCGAGTGTGAATGTGTAATAAATTAAAAGGGTGTTTTAATGTATTAATTTTGATCAGATCAAAATAATAATTCACGTTGTTAGGCATCGTGACTGGGAACATGATGGGTCGCACACAAAAGGAGAACTGAAAGATTGTGATTTGTCAATTAATTAATTTAACAAGCGTTGGATAAATTAATTAATTGAGTTGTTTATTTATAGACCTGAATTAATTAATTGTAATAATTAATGGATTAATTAATCCATGGATCGAATTTAATTAAATGGGTTAACTAAATATTAGAGCAAGTCAGGCCAAGCCCGATTAAGCTTATATAAATAAGTAGCTAGTGTTTACAGTTTTGTAGAGAATTTCATTCTTGCTGGCACAAGAGAAGAAAACCTTGGTTCCTATTATCTTGTTCTTTGTGTGGATTTTCATTGGAAACTGGACAATTGGATAGTTGTGGGTGGCGAATCAAGATTGTTGGAACGAAAGAATAGTAAAGAAGTTTGCAGATTTTGTAAAAAGTACAATCTCTATCATAATTTCTATTTATACATAAAGAGATCCTTGGTGGGAATTGAAATTTATTTTATTTTTCGCTGCGCGTGATAAGAAGATTCCCAGCAATTGTTCCAACACAACTTCTATTCGCTCGAATTGTATTTGAGGTGCTTAAATTCTACTGTTCTTCTGTTGTATCCTATGAGACAAACGTTCTAATTAATCCTTAAGTACTTGCAGTGAGGGAACGAATCTGATCTGAAGAAATTGTTTTTACAAAGGCATCGATTAAACGAAAAAAATTTCCTACTTTTGGTTAATTAGTTTACTTGTTCTGTTTTATTGTAATTTAATTTGCTATATTTTGGCTAAGTAGATTAATTTGTTCAGTTTACTACAATTTAATCTGCTATATTTTGTATAGTATCGAAGTTCATTACATATACAGTATATGCAAAATCAATATGTGCAAATTCGGTATCTAAGTTGCATACACGGTAAGCTGCTGCATATACTATATGTGTCAATCCGACTAGTTGTAAATCCGGTATATGTCTATCTGATATTTGTTAATCCGGTATTCATTCACTCATATTTAATCTAATAGATATGAAAAAGGTTGAGCTAAAAACTTAAAAAAGAAATTTAGAAACGCAGTATGCCAAGTTTATTCTTTCACTATGGTTTGAAAAAATGTTGTTAATGATAATTTTAAAATAAAATTTACAATCGAGATTTCCTTCGAGTATTGACTCTGAAGTGACAAGAAGCCATAGAAATTTTACATTCGATATTTAGGCCCCATTTGGTAGAGATTTTTTGCCCCAAAAAATTGATTTTTTGACCGTTATTTTACTATTCAAGCCGTAATTTTTGACTTCTTCTCTCACATGTGGACCCCACTTTTCTTCTAACGGTCAAAAAATCAATTCTCAAAATCCCTACCAAACGGGCCCTTAGTAAGTAGGAGTATGACTACGGCAAATTCTTAATATTTTATTGTGTACATAGGGTAAGCTTATTTTATTGCCTCTTTACTCGTAATTCCTTTTAGAGTCTTTTTTATGTTCCCATAGGGGCCAGTTACACTCTACCTGATGGACCAATACAATAGGGAGAGAGGGAATAGACCAATGGTGATAGACTTGCCATTCACTCGCCACGAACCATAGAAGAAAAGCGAATGGAAAGCGGTAGGACTAGAGGGAATGCTTGCGGGAAAGCACTTCCAACAACTTTTGGTAGGAATGGAAATCTATATTTTAAGGGAGAAAATCATGACTAAGCCCTCGTTTGAGTCACATTATTGTAAAAATGAGAATGAAAAATATAACCGTTATGGGTCTCACACAAAAGATAAGAAGTCAAATATAGTGACTTGATATGATAGATAACAGTCTTATTTTTCATTTTAATGAGGATATAATGAGACTCAAACAAGACCTAAGAGTTTAACTATAACTCATTTCAAAACTAAGATAAAAACTTTAAAATTTCAAAAATCAAATATTTTTAAAATTTTATTTCTGAATAATTAATTAAGAGTATATTTTGTAAATTAAATATAAAGTCACAATTCTATACAATTTGATTACAAAATATCGAATTAATTGGTTATGAATAATTTTTCGATCTCAATTAATAATTTTATAGGTCACAAATTATATCATGGTCACAAATTTATCAAATTAATAGGTTACATATTATTTATTGGTCACAAATCACAAATTTTATAAATCACAACTTATTTTAATGTCAAAAATACAAAATTAATTGACCACAAATTCTGTTTAAATCACAAATTATCAAATTATTAGTCATAAATTAACAAATTTTTAGATCTCATATTATTTATTGGTCACAATTTATATATTTAATTAGTCACATATTATTTATTGATCACACATCAAGCAATTTATTGTTGCAATCAACCAAATCATATGTAACCACTATCTCATCACTACCACCAGCCACATCACTGTTGAAACCACTGCCATTGAAACCATCACACCACCTTCGATAACAAAATCTTCATCTCAAACACTATAGCCAACATCACCACCACGATCACAACACCAAATCGTCAACATCATCACCACCACCCAAACACTACTAAAACCACCAGACCACTACCAACCCCCTAAAACCACTATAACATGGAAACCACCAACACCCATCCAACATCCAAAAAAAAAAAAAAACATCATCACCATTGCGATATGCGTCGTTGCAATCGCGATCTATGTCACTGCAACTACCATTTGGGCTACTACTGACATGATCTACGGTGCAACTTCTTTGTGCAACATTGCTACACAACGATATTGCTGCTATATATCACTATCGTACAACACTATACGCACAGATCACCACTGCACCACCATAGATTTCATCATTTTTTCTATCTCACACACAAAGATTACCATTGCGTGATAATTCAGCGTCCCTCATAGCATCATTGCCTCTCACGCCATAGACTACTCAGCACAGCTGTGTTTGAGGCGCCAATGCAGCAAACCACCATTCCATTAGAACGGATCGAGGAGGGGCTCAAACCACAGAACAAATCAAAACTCTAACAGATCGGCTCTACAACGGCGAGCGACGTTCGCCGCTGTGAGCGTTGGTGCCATGCCGGTGCCGATGACGAGAGAGAGAGAGAGAGAGAGAGAGAAGAGGTAGAGAGATTGGAAATTTAGGGTTTGGGGAAATGACGTGGGGTGAAAGGAGGTAGGGTTGGTTTATAAATTAATTTAATTTTATAATATTATTATTAATATTGAATTAACGTCTGATGTTTGTCTAAACAAACTTTAAACCTGATTTTTAAAATTATGACTTAAAAAAATTGGTTCTCTTTAATTTTCACGTATTTTAATTTAATTCAAAATCAACAATTAATTTTAACTATATATATGGGATTCACAACATTTTAACCATACATTTTATCAGCATTTATCAAATTTAATTTTAGTCCTTATCAAAATACCAAATAGAGACTATTAAAACATGCTACCATACAGCGTAAATGGATGGATCAAAATTTGCAAGTAGCTTTTTTGGCTTACTTTTTGAAACCTTACACAATCCTCCACAAATTCTTAATTGTCTGTGAAAGTAAAGGAAAAAAGAAGAAAAGAAAAAAATATAAGACACTAATCAATTGCCCGAAGCTCAGCCCTCAACTGAGCCTTCTCTTTGTCCGAATTCTGAAAACAAAGATCAAGAATTTTCTGCGTCATCTCAACTTCATCTCTGCTTTCCTCCATCAATTTTACAACCTGGTTCCTTGGAAGCCTCATCTTAACCTTAACAGGGCCCGTACTGGAACTCGGGACAGAAAGAAGAGAAGCAGATCTTTGCTTTAACTTGAGGCATTCGAGCCTGTCCTTGGCGTTCACAGCAACAGCAGATCTTGTCCTTCTAGGCACCTTTTCCCCTGGAAGCTTTGGCAGGTCTACAAGAAAATAAATCTTGTTGGACTTGAGCTCCTGTCCAGGCTCTAAAGGCTGAGCCCGAATTCCAAACCTCTTCACTTCTTCATGTTCCAGTAATACATAACCTGGATAGTCTTTAAGCACATCCAAAGCTACTGCTGGTGTTTTTAGCTTGAAAATTTCACCATCAATTTTCATAATCTTGGCTCTTTTTCTTCTTCCTCCTATGTTGTTTCCCATGTATATATCTATCAAGAAAGATGCTTATAATTTTATTTATTTTTAATATGTGTGTGTGTATATATATATATATATGACGAAGTTATATTTATCTGGTGTGAATATGTGGAAGTTAAATAAAGATTCCAGTTCCCACTAAAACCTGTTGATTTTGATAATGAAGTGGGAAAACTGAATTTTATGGGGGATCATCAGCCGACCTTTTTCTCTCTCTCCTTTTCTTTTCTTTTTTTTGAAACGCACTATTTGTGATAATCTTTGTTTGTTATTATCTTTCTTTCATTAAAAAACAAAGTCCTTGTGGACTGCTATTTGATAGCGTTTGGACAAGTAGGGAAATGATTACATATAATGGTCCAAAAGCTAAATTGCTATCTCTGGATATGATCAAAAGTGACTTTTAAGTGATTTATTTTTTTAACTTTTTTTCAAAAAAGTAAGTGTGAAAATGGCTTTATAATAAAGTAAAACCTGTCTAAAACTAGGGCTGGGCTTTGGGTGGTCTGACATAGATTTACACCCTGGGACAACTAAAGTTCCAGCGACAAATTGAATCAGCGTACAAGTATTCAGCGACAGTAATCAAAGCCAATGGAATTTGACATTGGTTTAAATAGAAGTTGTTACTGGTTTGTTTCAAAGTTAATAATTGCTATGACACTGTGAATAATGCTAATTTGACCGAAGAAAACTAATAGAAGCCAGAATCGTGATTTGATAGACAAGATGATTATGATTTAAACAGTTCAATAATAGAGTGATATATGACATTGTGCTAACCATTATATCAAGTATTCTGACAGTATAGCATGATTGATGACATTGAATTGTAAACTCCATATATTGCTACTTCTAGGAGTTGGTTTAAATGGAAGTATAGTTCACTTCATCTATAGTTCAAATGATCATCGATTTATGATATTTAGATCAATTTACACGTGGATCAAATATAACTCATCTAACTCAAATAATGCTATTCACCTAAAGTTTAGATAATCATTGATATATGTGGTTGATAGACTAATTTGCATTTGGATTAAATAATAGGCCAATTTGAGCCCCATATTCTCCAAAAATGCATTTTAAAATAGTGATTTGATGAAAAATATGTGGTTAAAAAATAAAGAAAAATTCTGAATTTATATATAATATTATTTTATTGAAAAATGTATGATTGAAAATTAGAGGGAGAAAAATGTATTTTAGAGATAATGGGGGATCAAACAAGTGCATAATCTATCTAACTCAAGTAATGATGTCATTGTCACATTATCCAATGACGTTTGAATGTATTTTTAGACATTGAATAATGTGATAATAATTTCAATGTCATTTAAATCGTGATAATTTAATACTAAGCCCTTGTTTGATTTTTATTATTTCTAAAATACATTTTTTCTATTTTCTTTTCAATCAATAATATTACACGTAAATCTAAGTTTTTCTTATTTTTTAACTACACATTTTTATCAATCTACAATTTCAAAATACATTCTTACAATAAAAATGGGGCTCAAACGAGCTCAAATGAATAGGATTATTTTTTGCTCGAATTGATCTAATTTTGTAAGTTACAAATTAAATTGTACGATCTTCAATTATGTGCTAATCATGCATTAAAAATTTTTAGAAGTTATATATTGTTACGTGTTTGCACACTTGGGCAACCTATCGGGGCCCACAGCCAACTCATGCTGAACCACGTGGCACTAAAGTCGAGGTGATTTGCATAGCCGAGGCCCACAAACCAAGGTCCACAGAAGCCTAGGCCCATATATATCGAGGCCCACCTATCATTGCCTTTTGAGGAGCTTCCGAAGCCCATCTGTCGAGACCCTTTGAAGGTGGACGAGGCCCTGTTGGCCGAAACCCTGTAGCCGAGGTAGCAGCCTCCGAATCACAAAGTAGCGTCCTCCATAGACACTTCTCCCAAGAGATCCTCTGTACAAAGATCTTACTTGGATGATTGATAGGACGCTTGTCATGAGCGTAAATGTTAAGTCTTGTCACTAGTAGAGGCGGCTCTACCAATCAATAAATGTATAGCAGGCTAGGTGCGGCTGATGCCTACGATTTGACATGTAAATTGACCAGATGAGGCCACGTGTACCCCGAACCAAATGTCACGATCTAACTTGTGACATTATAAATACTCCCCCATGCACCCCATACAAAGGCTAATGTAAGAATCAATACAAGAAATCATATTTTACTCAACTCTCTCTTTCTTATTATCATACAACACAAACGAGTTCATACATATTTAGATATACGTTTACAAATATCGATTGGTAATTATTGTACAATCGGTCTACAAACATCCCATCAGATTCCCAACGTTCTCGTCCCATGCCGTTGAGCTACTCCCACGCCCCGATCCGTCCATTTTAGACCGTCTACGTGTCTTAGCGTGTTGGACTTTCGCTCACGTGTGCGCAGGTGAGTCCGGCATCTATTGGCAACACTTTTTGGGGTCAACAGATTGGCGCCGTCTCTGTGAAACCATAGAATAACCACGAACAACCTTGTGGTGAAAGCTTATTGAAGAAGAACTTTTAGGCATCCTCCTTGAAAAAGGATTTGTTCTTGAAAAAGAACAAGAGGAAGCCCCACAACTTAGCAAAAATCTGAAGGTCAAACAAAGAAAATGAGTTCAAATGAAGATACACCCCCAGGAGGGTATGAGAAAATGCAGGTGTACCCCCTCCAACAGCTGCCCCAGCAGCTCGGCACCGACTCCACCGTGAAATGTGAGTGACAGCCCGACTATCAAGAGAAATGGCCGTCGTGGTAGCCAACAGGAGGGACATTGCTAGCCAGAATATGGCTATGAGGGAACTCATGGCCCAAATGTAAGGCCAGTGAGGTTTCCCTATTCCTCCATATGCCCCCCAAGGGCACTATTAGCAAGAAGATGAAGTTCAAAGTCAGAGGGTTGCGTCGTCGGACTATAGCCGAGGTAGTAGCCCATTTGAAAGGGAAGTGGAAGTTGATGTTTCTTCCAACTACGCTTTTGGGCGACCCATCGAGATCCCTTTGAACCATGATAACTTCCTACCTCCATATGAGCAAGAGCGAAGACATAGGAGGTCAGGGGTCAGGTAGTGTATTTGATAGAATCAGCCTTACAGAACTGGGGCCTAGGCAACAACAGCCTCACGAGCCTTGGATAAGGCCACAGCCCCCACCTCCAATGCCTCAACAACCGGAAGAAAGGCATGAAAATGCCCCCGAGTGCTGCACCACCTAGAAATAGGCATCAAAGAAGGGAAGAGGAGGCTAGGAACCATCCCGATACCTCTCACCAAGGTATGAGGCCGATGAAAATGATTCAGATGAGCAGCAAAGGTCCTGTGATTTAGACGATGATGATGAAAACCTGCCATTCTCAAGGGAACTAAGGAGCGCCCAGGTTCCGAACCACTACGTTATACCTAAGATACCAAAGTGTGACAGATGAGATGACCTAGAGAAGCACCTGAATGCTTACAAAACTCACATGAGCCTAAGTGGCGCCACCCCAGCTATGAAATGCAGAGCTTTCCACTTAACACTTAGCGGAGCAGCTGAAATTTGGTATAGTAAGTTACCATCTGGGAGCATAAGAAGTTAACCTGAATTCAAGACCACCTTCTTGAAGAGGTTCGCTATAAGCAAAAAGGGAGAGGCTCACATCCAATATCTCCAAGATATGAGACAGGCACATGGGAAGTCCCTGAAGAGCTTTCTATCACGCTTCATTGATGAGATGACGTACTGTGTGCAAGTCACCAACCGTGAGGCGTTATCTGCACTGAGAGGAGGCCTGAACATGAACACCCTGTTTTGGAGGGACGTGCAAAATCAAGATTCCACCACCTATGATACCCTACTCGAGATAGTGAGACAGGAGATCATCAATGAAGAATTGATTGAGCATAGGAACAGGGAAAGTAGAGGCCTCCCACCTCCACAAAGACAGCGTGCTAGAGGGCCGACCTCCCACTTGATAGATTACCAAATGAACCAAGCCGGTAATGAGAGTTCTGGGCAAGCACTTGCCTCCACCACTCTAAACGCAGTTCCTATCTTGGTATATGAGGATATCAACCCAGTCACTAACACCCAGCAGATGGGAACTCCGTAAGGATCCCGCAGGGGGAGAGGTCGAAGCCGGGGTTCGAGACCTAGAAATAGGTCAAATTTGAACCCCTCTGGATACTGCAATACCACCGGTCCTATGGCCACGATACAGTAAATTGTCGAGACTATGCTCACCGTACCCGACAAGAACCACCTAGGGATAGAAATGAATCGCCTCAAACGAACAGGCCCCCACCTAGGTATGATAACCCACCTGGGCGTGATAAGGCCGCTCCCCGTCAAAGGGATGTTTTCTTGCGACGAAGGGAGCACGATGCAGAGAGGCCCAGGGAAGGGCACAGACACTGAAGAAATCGACAAACTCAAGATGAGGCCCCTATCCACGAGGTGGATACCATATTTGGAGGCCCATATGTGGGCGGTGAAATGTGGAACCCTAAAAGGAATGACGCCCATGAGGCTAAGTACCCACCGCTAACTAGCTATATTATGGACCACAGCTCCCGGAGGAATCAAGTTCTACCTATTGTCTTCACCCAGGAGGACGCTGAAAGAGTTCACTATCCCCACTGCGATGCACTTGTGGTGAGAGCTGTCATAGCCCGGAATGGGCTCAAACAAATGTTAGTTGACAATGGTAGCTTTGTCAACATTCTATTCAGGTCCACTTTCGACAAGATGATACTGGACCACGAGTTGATGCACACCTCTACTTCTTTGTATGGATTTACCAGAGATAGCATCACTCCGAGAGGAAAGATCACCCTTGCAGTGGAGATGGGGGAGTCTCTCCAAACTAAAATGAACTTCATGGAGTTCCTCATTGTTGACAGTCGATCAGCCTACCACGGAGTATTGGGTAGGCCAGCTCTAAAGGAATTGGGAGCTGTCACCTCCATCCACCACCTATGCATGAAATTTCCAACGAAAAATGGGGTGACAACGGTGAGAGGTGACCAAAGAGGCTCGAGAGAGTGTTATCTAAGCTCCATCAGAAAGGTAGAACCCCAGGACGTCCATGTGATTATCGTCGACATAGTCATGACTGATGTCCAAGGTGAAGCTCCCTCTGAATCAGAAGATGTG